TCTCTCTCTCTCTCTCTCTCCCTCCCTCCCTCCCTCCCTCCCCCCTTCCCCCTAATCCACATGCACGAAACGTCAGCAGCATTACATCAGGAGATTGAGACAAAAGAGAGCGAGTTATTATCCAAACATCTTTGGCATCTTTATCCCACAAACAACAAACTATTGCGACATATCCCCCAAACAATATCCATCCAGCAGTTTTATTCTTTCTTTTTTCCAATTACGTGTGTCGACTGCCCGAGGCGGCCTTCTCTTTGATATTACTTTCACGGAACAAACAAGAGACAATAACGTTATAGATCTAACAAGCACCTCGCCCCAACACAATGTTTCAACAAAGGAAAAATCAACAAAAGAATCAAATAGGTGAAATACGTCCATCAGGCAAGTCCAAAAGAGGGTTGGGGAGGGGGGGGGGATAAAAGAGGAAAAGAAAGAAAGCAGCAAGAAATAGACGAACAAACAATGAATGAAAAATATATAAAAAGATCAGAAGCAATGAACGAAACAAAGAAACATTGAATCAAAAATCAGGCTTTCACAATTCTGAAAGAAAGAAAGAACTTCAAAACTGCAGGGAAATAGGTAAAAAGAATAAAACAATGAAGGGGAAAAAATAAAATAAATTGAAAGTCTACAGAATGTATGTATTTACAACAACAACAACAACAACAACAACAACAACAACAACAACAACAACAAAACCCTTCTCACTTGTGATTTCCTGACATAGCCGATGCAGCTGATGGAGGGGGCATGAGGTGCACAGCTCGTTGGGGGCGGTGCCTGGGGTGGTGGGCGTGACAGGGGTGTTGCCTGCGGTCCCACTGCTGCCACCAGTTCCTCCCCCTGCCCCTCCTCCGGCTGTAGATCCTGTTTTGCTGTAGGCAGCAGTGAACGCTGTCTGGAGAGTGCTCATGATTTCCGAAACCTGGTGATGGAAAGCATGATATAAACTGTTTCAGTAAGAGTTTTACAGCACTTGCAACGCAAATGGGTCAAATAAAAGCCGGAGATTGGGGGTATTACAAGAAAGTAACAAACACAAAAAAGAAGGAGGAGAGATCAGGCCGATAGATGTTTGAAAGGAAAGAAGGAGCAAACTACACAAGAGCACCTGCCATCCATCCACATGACACAAGCGAATGGTTGCTAAATAACGTATAGTCGCAGACAAGACAGCGCAAATCCAAAATCACTACTGTCAAAGAAAATAGTGCGGGTGCCGAGCGAGCCAGGACATGGTTGTACACGTTTTGCTTTGTTTAACTCTTTAAAGCTGAAGCGCACATATATGTCCCATCAGCAGCAGACTAAATGCAATGATGTGGCACATTTCGATCAATCATACACAAATCAGGAACACCAATTTGCATATTTCCCAGTGTTTATATTTTTGCTTGCCCTTTAAAGGTCCAAATGAAGAAAACAAAATCGAAAAGTCGGTTTAAATAATGAAGTTCGGTTCCACAACAGCACTTTTTCCAGCCTTGTTGAATGGTCAGAACGTGGTTAAGTAATAGAGAAGCACATCGACACGACAACGGTCATTTTGTGCTCGGAAAAAGGACAGTCAGACAGAAACAACAGAGGAGAAGGGAAGGAGTAGAACAAACTAGTGCCACCCTACAACCACGGGTCGTTGGTTTTTAGTTAACGTCGAACTTCTTGATTTTCGCTCCGCAAACGTGCACTGTATGAAGACGTCATGATACAGCACGGTTCTCGCGCGATATTTAGAGAAAAAATAACTTTACCTAATTTCAGACTTCCAGTGTTTCCGACCGTCACCGTGAATAAGCTGCTTCAAGACATCTTACTTCAGATCGAGCGCACACCTCTACTTCACAAAAGCGCCCCAATTTTTTTATTTTTTTAAAATAACCTTTAAGTCCCACCATTTTGTTTTAGTTTGAGTTTGAATAAAGTCAAGCATATCAACACAATAAAAGTCACTTTGTCTTCAGAAAAAGAAAGACATACAGACAGAAACAACAGAGGGTAAGGAAAGAAGTAGGGATTAACAGCCCTCCAAACACTCAAAGCCCAACCTGTTAATTCTTCCTAAACCCGACGCAACGGTCAAGAAAATAAGAGCTGTAAAAAGATACATCACACAAAGGGACGACTGCCCTGTCAACACCGTGGGAGCTATTTCCATAAAAACCTAAGTAACTTGAGTCTAAACATATTGGATAGGATTCCAATAACGGCAAAGCCAAATCAACAAGAAAAGAAAGAAAGAAAGAAAGAAAGAAAGAAAGAAAGAAAGAAAGAAAGAAAGAAAAAAAGAAAGAAAGAAAGAAAGAAAGAAAGAAAGAAAGAAAGATAAGTTAACAATTCCCTTCATGATTTTTCAAAAGTGAAGGAAAATAAGAAGAAAGAATTAAACAAGGAAAGAAGGGGAGGTAGGTGGAGAAATTGAAAGAGTCCTCAGATATTTGTATATATTTTAAAAAAGAAAATGGCAATATCAAATCGACAAGCAAAAAAAAACAAACCCAGAAAGACCGAAAAAGCAAGAAAGTAAGAAAAAGCAAGAAAAAGCACTAAAAAGCAAGAAACCGAGGAAGAAGAAGCGATTTCCCAATGAGATCTAAGCAGTTATTAACGGCGCTTTTTCCTCGGACGTGCCCGAGACGTCGGCTGTAAATTTGATGAACGGTCTGTCGGAAATTAACATCAATACCGCCACCCCGGGTTCTAAAAACGGGAAGATTGGGTTATTTTTCAACCTTTGTTTTCCTTACAGAGATCACACACGGTTGTAAATTAAATTCAAAACAACGTACGCTAGTCCCCCTCTCTCCCTCTTTTATTTTTTAAATCTTTTTTACTCTTAACAACTTTCAGTCAATCTAACTTTGCGCCCAATTACCTGTCGAAGACCAATTTCTGAAATTATGTAAAGATCAAATACTAAAATCATAAAGGGAACAAACATTCGACATCCAAATTATAGTCTTCTCATTAATTCTCTCGGATCCGCGGTCCTAATCTCAGCGCTGACAGGGAAAGCTGAGGGTGGTGAGAATAACGACCCGCAAATTACACGGCATCGTCGGAACACAATCCAGATTTTCGTCGGGGGGAAAGAGGAGGGGGGTGGTCTGTTGGGTTTTTTCTTTCTTGTCTTCTCCTTCTTTGTTGTTAAATGACCCAATGCAATACCCCTTAGACGCACCCATTAATTTCAGACTGGACGACATTGATGAAAATAAACACGACAGGAGCCGCAACTCGAAACAAAACCAAATAAAACCTGTAGCCTACGCAGCGCAGAAACCAGGGATTCGCGAGGGAAATTTGAACGCAGCCGACCGGAAGTGACGTCTATCAAAAACTATATACCCAACTCTTTCTTCCTCGTTAGGCTTCAGATTTATTCCAAGCATCTCTATGATGAACAAAGCTTCCGACAAGCATCAGTTATTGAGAAAGG